ATTTTGGCGCCAGAGTTCATTTGGGTGCCGAGTTGAAATACCCGGACAGACACACACACACACACACATACGCACACATACACACACCGAGGTTGTCACAATATGTGTTTTTGCATATATGCAAAACCGCATAAAAACCCACCAACTACGTTAGATATAAAAGCTTGAAACCACAGCCAGTTATCAAAACCGACATGCACTGACCTATCATCTCGGAGCTCGAGCTAACATGGTACCTCCAGAACAAGAAAAGCTACAAATTATGCAAAGAAAAAAAAAAAACGCCAACTCGTTACCATTTACTGGGTGGAGGGCAGTGCACCAGTTGAAGGCGCTGCGGTCCGCACGTCGGATGAAAACTGCGGTGGCTGTTCGCGAGTGTCCTGCGAACTGCTCTCTGCAGACTGAGTGTCATGGCTCCTTCTTGCCGTTACATCAGAACTCTGTTCAGACACGCCTGGTAGTAGCCCAATGCCGGTTATTTGGGTTTGCAAGGCTGGAAAAGTGGGCAACGATGCGGTTGGTGCATTCTGTAACACGGCTACTGGGACTGGATTCAACGGTGTGGGCGGCAGTGTCTCAGCGACATTTGGCTGCAGGTTGAGCAGGCGCGTATAATCTAGCCACTGGCTAAACGCCAGATCACGGCTAACACCAGTAAGCAACGATGCAAGAGCGGAATTTGTTGTTGACGGAACGGGAAGCTGAAGTGGCAGTGGTGGCAGCAGCAGTTGCGGATTTGCCTGCAAAAACTGGACTGTCGGCTGCTGATCGCCGTTTGGTGATGGCAGTGTCTGCATGAACTGATGCGTCGGAACCTGCGCTACAGAGGAAGCTAGCTCCCTAATTCTTCCATAATTGACATAATTAGCAAGAAGTTCATTCATAAGAGCAGTGGAAACCGGCTGCTGCTGCTGCTGCGGTATCGCAACCTGCGGTGGCACGTGAAATGATGGGGCCGTAAGTTGATGCGCAGCGGACGGCACTGCACCCGGGACTGAACCTGGAGCTGTCCCACGTAACTGCAAATAATTCGGCGAAAACGCTGTTGCTGGCAATTTTGTTAGAGCCGATCGCAGCAAAGCACTGCCTTGAGCTGATTCGGATCCCTGGATAAACTGATTGTGCACAGACCGCTTCAACATTTCACCATTCGGTGCAGCCCCTGGCTGTCCGCTGTCTGACGGTACATTATAATGTGGTATGAAATCGGCAGCAACAGGTCCTCTTTGCGAATTTAGGTCCGGTGCGAGATTCAAGTGCTGTCGTAGCTGTTCTGCAGCTGGGAAATAATTCTGCGATGTTCCAATGGCACCAACGGCATTTAGTATCGAATCATCCGACTGCGACATCAAACCGTAGTTCTGCAGCCACTGTTGCACAGCTGATGCAGAAAGCTGCTTCTGTAGTAATCCAGCCTGCGCACCGACTGTTCCTGGGAGCTCATTCAGCTGACAATTCATCGAACGAGGCTGGCCCACAGCCTGGTTTGGAGATGCACTTGCTGAAAGTTCATCAGACTGTGAGGCCGACGCCAGACTTCGCTGCAGCTGCGCAACAGATATCGGCAGCTGATTCAGTAGCGATCTAATCTGCGCACCACCAGTCACCGGAATCGCATTCAGTTTCAGTTCTTGACTAGATGTTATCTTGCGGCGCATCTGATTTTGGCTCATATCCGCTGCAATCTGGAACTGCTGCTGAAGGAAATCGGAACCGGAACAGGTGGTGGCGGCACTCTGCGCTCTTTCGTTCATTGATCGGGCTACGGAGGTTCTGTTATCTGAAACAGAAATTATCGTGTTCTTCCAAAGCAAAACATTTCTTAAGTTTCATTTTCACCACGCATCTCGAAACTAATCCAAGTGCAAAAACCACCGACTACGCCCACAAAATCAAAAGCATCGAACGTATGACCCAATAATGAGCCGAACTACATGAATGCAACAAGAGTACTGAACTGAATGAAGGCCCGCTTTTGTAATCGTCGCCTCTATTTCGCATGACCCAAAATCCACCATTACTGCTTAAGGTTCATTTAAACGCTATAATATAAAACCAATGCAAATGCACCTCTCTCACTTCATCGTTTATTGCCAGTCGAAAAACCAGGCTCTAAAACCAGATTTTCCACACGACACCAAGCGAAAAAGGGTCGACTGCCCGATCCACAGTGTAAGGAATGATCACGTCCCTTTTAAATCACATTGTGGATAATGTGTTCTAGGAAAAACCTTGTACCGGCGTACCAAGGCGGGCCGCTCTCTCACCCAACGAAATTGAAGAAACTGTCATACATCCCATTTGGAAAAAATTCCATGGTCACAAAATTTTGTGATGGGAAGTACAAAAGACAATAAGAGAGGTGTAATACTTAGCGAACAGAGGGCAAAAAAGCGAAAAATCAGGCAAAAGTATCAAGACCAGTTCGGAAATGCTAAGCTGCGTTAAAAAGCAAATAAAGTAACAGATTCCCACATTACTCTAGGCTAACGTTCGAAAGAGATCAGCATTTTACTAACAGCAAATACCAGAAGGCGAAGCTACTAACGGCCTCCTCTTCTAAACGTTTTCTGAGAAGCAAACTGAAGATGGCTTGGCTCTACCACATGCCAGACACACACACACACACACAAATATAGAACACCTTTTCTGCATTACGCCTTTTTGTATTGCACAGATGCAAAAAACTGAATAAACTGGACCAGAAAACATCAAATTTAGTGTTAAAACTCTAGAGAATTTAAGCAAACAATGGGCAAAAAAAGGAACTATCCCGCATCTCCTTTGACAGAAAAAGCACTTTTTTGAGCAATAAGACCACCAGTGACTCTTTGTAATGACACGAGCTACTGAACAATAAATACCGCTGCGCTGTCTCTTCCTCCGTCTAATAACAACAATTTAGGATGGGAAGACAGCGCCATCAGTGACAGCAGTAACTCTTGGTGAATCCTCAATTTTGGCTTTGTCATTTCCCTTCAGGCACAAGTTATGGCTGAACATATTCAATTCCGTCAAGAATCATTTGAGCCGAGAGAATCATAAGACGCGATCCTCTGAAGCAGCCCGCAAATAATGAATTTCTCATCTCTTTTGATGAAATTTTTAAACTATCTTTTTGTCTCATAAGCTAAGTGACAAGCTGCAAAGCTAGTTCTGGCAACCAAAACCAATTTCAGCACCTTATTTTTTTAGATCAAGCGCGACTAGCTGCAAGGTCTAGGGCCACTACAACTCTAATTCTTGGAAGAATCTAATCCGTAGCGAGCGGCTCAGTAATAAGACGAAAGTATATTATGAACATCGCTCAAAAACCGTATCTCAGAACTAGCTCTAAATCAGCCCCGCTATATAAATCCAAAAATATCGTACAATTCACTTTGCTCCAAGCTTTAAAAGACAACATTTGGTGATTGGTCAGTGGATACAGGAAGAAACACTTTCGAAGCATATTGAAAAGAACAAAACAGGACATTCTGTCACAGCCTGCTAACGGTGCCACTTTGTCACTGGCAACGTCCCAGAGAATGGTTCCACCGAACTGTCAAAAGAAGTTGCTTTCCTGAACCAGCATACAGATATCCCGTTAAACTGTTAATTACAAATGTACGTTTCCAATGTCATTAATATTTTGAACGCTTATTTCATCCGTTCCAGTTCTGTCATTACACCGAACAACCACGGCAACACT